GGGGATTCTGCCTTCAAGGGAACTTTCGTCAGCCGAAAGAAGCGGCCTCGCAGCGAGGGGAGTGTGTGTGTGTGTGCGCTCGCCCCGAGGCCGCTTCTACCGGCCGATCGAAGTGGCTGGTGACTGCATTTGGGGAGCTTCCATCGCCCGAAAGAGACTACCTAAAGGTGAGGGGACACGGGTAGCCCTGCCTCGCCCCAAAGCGGCTGGGGACTCTGCCTTCAGGGAGCTTCTATCGGCTATCGGGGTATTCTAGCCTAGGCTACCTGCAGGGCACTCCTAAAGGCAAGTTTTCTCCCCATCCCCCCTGCCCTTCCCCCGCCCATTTCTCTTCACCTTGTGTAGTTCTAACGAACGATGTGAGAAATGGCAGGGAAAAGCATGGTTTAAATAGGCCTAAATTTTGGGGGAGGGACTTAATTTCACCTCATGCCTAGAAATCATGCTGGGCCTTCCTATTGGTGGAGGCTGTATTGTTGGAGAAACACGGTATCAGTGACATCAAAATGATAAAATGTGAGTTGTGAGATCATGACACAAGCTTTGGCTTTTGAACTTGCACTCCATACAAATACACAAGGGGCAGAATTTGTGCCACAACATTGCAGTGTATATCACTTGCCCCCTATGATCTTTCATATACATATACACTATCAGTATCAAGAAATTATCAAGAGTGTGGTAGTTTTGGCAAATTTCTTAAGGTGTTTTAGGTGAAAGCACCCAAGTATCATGAGACATGGCCATTCAGTCTTTGATTATTTTTTATTTAATTTGGACTCCTAGGGGTACTATCTGGGGAATGCATTTACCACAGTGCTCAAAGTCAGTAGGTTGCCAGCCCTTGGCATATGCAGTAGTCCCCAGTATTTTTTTATGACAATTTAGTGGTCTGCAGAAAGGAAAACCATTTGTTTATGCCATGGAAATCCAAATAATAGTACTTTGTTTAACAAGTTATGATTCAATAAATTATAGCTTAGCAATTATTGCTACTGATCCCATAGGAAAGATAAATATAAGTGATGTGTTGGGGTGAAAGCCTCTTTTGCTTGCTGAACAAGGGTAAACTTGTCCAAAGTCCCTTCCCACGGACATATCTAATTCAGAATGCTGGCAAGATTTGGCTTTGGCAACAGGAGGCAGGAGATGTAATGCCAGCTGAGATATTTCACGTCTTGTCCTAGAAAAATGCTTGAATTGTCTAAAATTGATGGCCAAAGCGCTGCACCACTGAATATTAGTATCCAGTTAAAAAGTTGGAAGTAACTCTTGCCACCCAACCATTACATGCGTATACCATCTGGCTTCAAAGAACAGCTTGGAGTCTGCTCTCTCCCTCCTACAGCCACCTGTGCCTTATTGGTAGGAACCTCAGTACAAAGCTGTAAGAAAAAGAAAACCAGCTTATGAAATGGTGTATGGGAGAAGCTTCTTGGGATCACTTACAGGGCTTCCTCCTTTTCGGTCGCCTCCTCTGCTGCCACCAATCTCTTTTCTCACTCTTGTGTCCAGGTGATACTTCTGGATCTCTCCCCCAGAGTTGTGTTTCACCAGCCTAGTGGGATATGTGATTTCTGAAATACCCCATCTTTTGCGCCAACTGGAATTTGGGATCCACCTCCGCAAATCACCAGGTTGGGGATCTGCCTTCACAAAACCTCCAAGAAGAAAAAACAGAACAAAATCAACAATGGTTGTCCAAGCTGCAATCAAAGCAAAGAGAAAAGAGTAGCGGGAAGATCAACAAAGGAGTTTAATCTACTTGGAAGTCAAAATCCTTGTGCATAAATTCTGGTACGGAAGGGAAACAGGTCATTCTGACATCAGGAGAAGGCAAAAATCTGAATATACTCAGATAAGCTGCTCTAGATTGCAGGCTGAACCCCAGAAGATATCTGAGGGCTAAATTCTAACACATTCTCAATCAAGCTAAGCTAAGCCAAACCTTGGTGTATACTAAAAGAAGTCAATCCTTGGCAAGAACACTTGCACATAGCTAGTATAAAGAAAAGTCAACCCATTCCTACAATTGACATCTACTACCTTTCAATCCTGGATATGCTCCAGGCCACTGGACAACAATGAAGGGAATGCACTCTGCATGTACTCAAGGACTGTGTTTCCTTTTGTTCGTTACAATCATTTGTTTGACTGGCCCCAGCATCTAAAATACTTAGGCTGAACCCTGGGTTACTGCATTCCTAAGCGTTTCGGTCTTTTTCCCATTTCCCCAGCTTCTTTCATCCCATTCATTCGTGTTTATCAAGAAATCTATGGGCATGGCTGTTACCCGTATAAGCTTGAATGGCATATGCGAGAGGAATCCTCCACCCCCTGCCCTATTCCCAGGTAAATCTGACAGGCGATTTCAGCCACTCTCCCCAGCTGTTGCTCCTTTCTCCACCTCAGAAAGGAACTGCAGAAAATGTGTCGATGCAGCAGAAAAGACTGCAGTCCCAGAGCTGATGGAATGTAAAAAACGTGTCTATAAAGAAGAGAATGGATTTTAAACAAGGAATATATTTACAAACAGCAAATCGCATCATCCCCCTCCCCATGTGCCCCATTCCAAAAGGTGAGAAATTAAAGCCACTGCTGGAGGGAGAAAGGAGGCAGTACTGGAATATGGTGCTCCCTGTCACTTTGAGAAATGTATGCAATGTAACTCCCACTGCTTGATTGGTACTCCAGTGCCTGTACCTAGCTGCCTACCTCGTACAGTGCTCACTACTCCAAAGCAATACAAAGAGAGATGCGGGGGGAGAAGGGGGGGGAAGTTGGGAGGCCAAAGGAAAGAGTTTTTTTTTCCTCACCTGAATGACAAAGCAGCAAGCAGCAGAAAACTGTCAACACCCAGTTCTGGAGCGAGCGGCTCATAATGCCTTCATAATCGGAACCAGAGTTGGCACCAGCTGTGTGGCATGCAAGGGAGGCAGATTGCAGTGCCCTTTCTTCGTTTTCTTTTGCTTTGCATTGAAAGTCTAGGATTCTTACTGGTCCTTGCCTTGCCTCTCCTTGCTTTTCCTCTTTGCTCTTTCTTCTGGAATATTTCTGAGAAAGAGAAGGGTGGAAGAAGAGGAGTGGAAGAAAAAGCAGTTCAGGGCAGGCGATGGAATCTTTTGTAGAGGCAAATCAGAATCAGCAAAGAGTTGGAAACAGGCAGGAGAAAGACAAAAATTTCTTCCTCTTGATTATGCAGTGATGGATAGAAGAGCCTAATATGATGTGAGGGAGAACTGTGGAGAATTGCAGGGGGTGGGAGCGAGGGAGAAAATGGACACGTGAGCTACAAAGATCCCTCCTCCTGCCTTTTTAGCATGGAAGAGCCGTCTCTGGTGCTCGCTTGCTCTCCAGCTCCATACACAGACTTTCTATATGGACAAGCATGAGAGAAGGCAGTAAAACTCACAAAAGGAGAAGGGTATCATATACATATAGATCAGCCTCCTATGTGCACACATAAACTGACTGTTGACAATGTACAAGTCACAATAAAATGTACTAATAAATCATAGGCACAATGATCATTTATATAAGGAGCTGCCACTTTTGGAGATTGACCAGATTCTCGATTTTATTGAAGCTTTTGAGTTTAAAGTCAAAGATTTTGTCTTCCAAAAGGTTCAGAATGCCTCCCACTATTACCAGGAGCCTATAAATTATGCTTAATTCCACCCCCTTTACTCAGGTCAGAAGAGTAAGCCTGACCTATTTAGGTGAAATGAAATCTTATTTAGAAAAACATTCCAAGCCAGCCAGCAATGTGCAATCTTGTATAGATATCATTTCTATATAGAAGGCAACACTAAAGCAAACTGATCAGCAAACCTGGTACACCATGAAGATTGTGCCTAGGATACTGTACCATGATGTACTTCCATTGACAAGTTTGAGGCACTATAGGTAGCCCTCAGTTTACGTCTATTTGCTCAGCTATAACTTGGAGGTCAAGCTTTATGGCCATTTTTTTCAGTGATACCGTAACTTTGCTTATTTAAAGTTACAGTGTCACTGAAAAAAATGTACGTAAAACTGGTCCTCCAAGTTACAGCTGTAGTAGTATCCCCACAGCCATATGATCACTATCAGGGCATTTGTGTGTCCAGCAGGTAATTACTGTATGTTGCAAAGAGCCATAGTAATGTGATCATCATTTGTGACCTTCCCCACCAGTTTCTCATCTGCAAATTCAATGTGGAAACTGGTGAGGAAGGATGTGAAGCAACTCCAGTAATTTGTTCCTGTTTTTTTCTTTTCTAATACAATTCAGTTTTTATAAAACTTGTTTTAGTAGTCAATTGATACAGGCAAATAAACTGTGGCTGTACCCAAACTGTCCTCCAACCTTTTAATAGGACCCAAGCTATAAAGTAATTGCTGCAATTTGTTCATTGTTTTAAGTATCCTGCCCTACCTTTAAGTTACATGAGTGGCACATTTAGGACCAAGGATTCTGGTCAACTTACAGATGCAAATTTACATCTACAAGATGCAATTTTTTGAAATCACTTATTGTCTAAATATCAAAAGGACCTTCTTTTTGTTCTTTATTGCATTATCGGCTTTTTAAGTTCTCTCCATAACCACATCCAGGCCTTTTTATCATAAAATGCTAAGTACCCAAACATATTATTGTTTTGATTACTGTAATTAAAATAAAGACCATATATTTTTAAGTCATGACTCTCATGTTTTTTATAACTTTTCTCTCACTTCTGGTTAAAACCAGAATATGGTTGCTTCGACAATAGTCTGGAGTTGTTCTTTTATTAGCACAAATTTTGTAAAGGATACAAACACTGACCATCTGTTACATTATAATGATTTCTGTATTAGCATCCCATTTTAAAAAGCCTTTTAGGATAATTTCCTCCATTTATATGTTGCTGTATTAGCCTGTCTGAGGTGAATCAAGAAGTTATAGAGAATGTCCAGGTCTCCTAGTTTTAATTAGAATATTTTCCCTGTAGTTGTTTTAGATTAGAAACTAGATTTAATTATCTTTCACTATGTAAATTCCTGGTGTTTGGAAAAGAGTGAAAGAGCCTTCAGTTGTTTCCATTCATTAATAGTACTATTGTATTCTTGTTTTTATTATTTATGCCGCCAATTTCATTAGAAAAGTAAAATTTGTGGGAGAAACATTTTTACTGTGAAGAACAAAAATGAATAAAAACAGACCGTGGCAATTACTGTGGCATTATTAAACAGTAGCAGACAATATAAATGGAAGCTTCTGGTAAAAGTTGCTGAATATTTCCAGAGACTAAAACAGAAGTAACATGCATCTCAAATGTATGCTTTTGCTGTGTACAGAAAAGAATAGGTTTGGGTGTGTGTTATCATTCAGCTGAAAAAGAAAAACATGAGGGGGCAAGAAATTCACCTTGCTACACTCCTTCATTTAACCAAGTTATCATTTTAAAGTGATGTCTGGAGCCAGTTATTATATATAATGTGGAATTTCCATGTTAATTTCTCATACAACTGTGAGTCAAAAAGCAACGTGTCCGGCATGCCAAAGCTTCTGTGTTGAAGCAAGTGCAACCTGAGTCTTTGATTGCAGAAGAAGTTCCCAGAATACAAACTGCTAGTTTTGTATGCTTAGGCTGAAAAACAGCTTCTGTCCCAGGGCAGTCGCTCTTTTGAATTCTGATGTATAGTGCGGTGTTGTTGTGGTGTCGGGGGTTTCCGGTTCAATGTGTGAAGGGTGAAGGATATGTGTTTGTGTTTATTTTCATGGTCATGGTCACTGAAGATGGTGTTTGATTCCGTTGTACGAGGTGCAATGACAATAAAGTAAAGTAAAGTAAACTTATGATTCTGTACCTCTCATTTTAAAAAAATGGAGCTTAAAAAAGGAAAAAGAAATATTTTAGGTATTGGTAACTGATGTAGTAATACTACAAGAGATGTGTTTTTCGGGGGCGGAGCTGGCGTCGTGACGATACGGCATGCGATCTTGGAGGTCTGAGATCGCTGCCGATATCTTTGCTCCTGGACGGTCCAAGTGGATCTAAACCATCCCGAAGAGACGGTGAATGTAAAGAGCGCATCCTGTCGATCCCAGGGATATCACAAAGTCCCTGGTAGATCCAGGAGAAGCTCTTTTTGCCAGCGGCAAAGAGGCAGCCATTAAAGCTGCTGAAGTTGGGACAGCTCCGAAACGAAAGAGAACGAAAGAGAAAGTGTGCCGGTTTGGTGAGAACTTTTCTTTATTTAAAGATTTGAGAGGACACCCTAAGGGAAAGAAAGAATCTGTAAAAGTTTTTTGACAGAAGTGAATAAGCGGTGATTTTAAACAGGAATGTCAAAGTAATATATATATATTTTTCTTATTGCTGATGATCCTATATTTCGAAACTGGACTGGTTTTTTCCTTTTTTTTTAATTCTACTCTTTTCTTTCCCCTTTTTGATTTTATAATATATTAAGCCAGAGACTCTCTTTTAGTCTTTTTTTTTTTAAAAAAAATTTCTTCCTTTTTAAACTAATTCTTATTATACTCTGCCGGAAAAGGAGGGGGAAAGTGAAAGCTAAAGAAAGTTTGTAACACTGCCAACTAGAGGCTTGGAAATACTCTACTTTTCCTTTGACCAGACAAAGCTGAGAAAGAATTGAGACTTTTTTTCAAGGACACTGCCTGTTTGATAAGATAGAGGGAAGAGCATGGGAGAGTATTATTGCAGGTGCTCTTCTGGGTTTCTATCAACAGCTGGAGTCTGGTGTTGAAACCTAGGGGGGGAAAAAGATGATATGTTTTTGGAGAAGAGAGTTATAATAAGAGCCTTGGATAATTAAACAAAGTGCAGTGTGCTCTTTTTACTTTTTCTAAGTTGTGCTATCCCTCCTCACCAGCTTTATTTTATTTCATTTTATCTTTTTTTTTTTTTTGCAATAGCTATTTGGATCTTTGGCTTTGTTGGAGCATGTCTTTGTTTTTCTTTTTTTTTCTTTGGAAGTCCAATCTCTACGCTTGCTTTTTATCTGAAAGGGAAAGCTTTAGTATTAATGTTTCCTTTTTTTTAAGGAAATAGCCTTTTTTTCTCCTTTCCTGGTATTTTTGTTTTTTCATCTACCTTTCTGATTTATTTTTATGCACTCTTTTCTATTTGAGACCTCTCAATTGGATTAAGGTGTTGAAGAACCTGAAGAATTTTTCCTTTTCTTTTTTTCCCCCAAGACTTTTTCTTCATCTAACCACCGATTGGATTAAGGTATACAAGAACCTGAAGAAATTTTGTCCTCCCTTTTTTTTTTTTTTTATCATTACTATTTGGCTTCTTTTTTCTACTATTTTTATTTCGAACTACAATTGGTTATTTCACAATTGGATTAAGGCTTAGAAGAACCTGAAGATTTTGAATTGCTTAAAATGAGTAGGAAACTAACAGCTCCTGGTTCTTCAACTTCTACTTCCTCCTCTCCACCATCTGGAGGACAACGTTCAATACAGACAATATTAAAACAAGAAAAAGAACAAGAAAAAGTGACTCTGCAGATGATTATGCAAGGAATTCAAAATATTCAAGCAAGATCAGAGAATATTGAAAAGAGAATAGAGAACATTGAACAAAGAACAGAGAACATTGAACAAAGAACAGGGAAAACCGATGAAAAAGTGGAGAACATCCAACAAATGATGTTGAAGTATGATGAGAGATTCCAAAAAATTGAAGAAGAAGAAGAAGATAAACAAAGAGACAAGAAGATTGGAGATATTGATAATAGATTAACGGTGGTTGAACAAGATAAAAGTGGTATGTTGAGATGGGAGATGGATAGATCAGAATTCTATCTTAGATTCCAAAACATAGAGGAAGAAAAAGGACAAAATTTAGCTGAGATAATGATAGAAATACTGGCTGAAGCTTTGGAAATAACTCAGGGGAAGATGATGGATGGAATAGATGAGGTTTATCGAGTTTTCACAAGATATGCGATGAGAAATAGCTTACCAAGAGAAGTTCACATTAGATTTACAAAGAAAGTCATTAAAACGCAAATATTACAAGTGGCAAAAGAGAAAACATTGAAATACAAAGACAAGG